CCAATTTTCACTAAAAATATTACCTTTACTTCAGCAAATTGAAAAGTACCAGCATTTCCTTCAAATATCCCAAAATTTCGTCAAAAATAGTAAGGAAAAAATCCGTGATGTTGACCTGATATCTCAACCTCAGTAAGGAAGCAGGACTCGAGCTTTTGCCTGAGATCAGAACTCACCAAGATCGTGCTTTGGTACAAGTTTCAAAGCAAGCAACCCTTATTTAGATAGTTTTCGCCTGGGGGAGAGACTTTTGTCGTCTACTGTATACTTGTTAAACTAAGAATTTATTGATTTTTTTGTTTTATTAAATAGAAAATTTAAGAAAAAAAAATGTAATCTCAATATCATCTAAATCCAGTTGATTAATGAAATTTCTTTCTATACGAAATAGAAAAAAAATAAAATAAAATAAAGAATTACTTGAAAGTTGTAGTCCTGATGAATATATATGGGACATAAACGTTGAAGTAAATGTTTCAATGTTTTTATTAGTCTTCTTTTGCTCTTTCGATTGCATGTAATCGTCAGTCACCAAAATGAAATGAACTGCAAAAGCATATATTTTATAAGAAGGATTGAAAAAAAAAGTAAATGATCTCTGATATTACAAAATGAAACATAATATTCATCTTTAAGAAACAAAAATTTGACACCATTTTTCAAATCTTATGTTTCAAAATGTTTGTAATTGTCTTGATTATCTCATATTCCAGTCAAACAGACATATCAGTTTGACTGGACGCGATGATTATATGATTGTTATAGATTCGTTTATTCTACATAAAAAAAACAGCTGCAATACTTCAATGAATTAAAATACCATAAAAATAGACTTAATTTTCAGTAGAAAAGGTTAAAAATAGATGATCATGACCCGTAGAATGATAAAAGTTTAATTTAGTGCGTTTCGCATCATCAATCATCTGAAGAAAAAAAACATACGATGAATCATCACTTATATGCATGATATAAATAGACGAGTTTCATACTGATGTTTTTCTATTTGTAGATAAATCAAAAAATGAAATTTAAAATATATTCTTCTATTATTTTTCTTGTTCTAATTTTACAAATTGGTATCAAAGCAGAACAATTATCTTTATCATTTTTTAATTTAATTCCAAATATTATTTCTAATGGTCGATTCGTACAAGAAAATATTATTAATTCTAAGATTGAATTTAATGAAACATTTCCACGATTAAATCAAGATCTTACACTCAATGCTAATGGATCGAACTGCAGTGAAGACATTCAATTATTAGCTAAAGATTTAAATGCTAGAAAAACATGGGCATTGAAGAGTAAATTTTGTTTTTCTTTTTATCGTTAAAAAACAAATCTTTGTTTTTTTTTTCAGCATTGGATGCTTGGGGTAAATTTCCTAGTGGAATAATGCAAGGAAATATCTATTGGATTGGTTCAGTATATGAATGTGCACATCATTTACGTGGTTTAAATAATAGTGTTGTTGAACAACCATTTCGAACACGTACATGTGTTATTGGTAATGGTTATTCAAATACTGTTCGACCAATCTATGGTATTTGTGTACCTCAAAGTTGTGATTCAAATGATATTACGAATAATATTAATAAACGTATGTGAATATAGTATTAAAAATATTTTGTTTTTATCTTTCTACTTATTAATTTTCAGATATTATTAGAATTCCATTTATTGATCAATTTATTCCTTTAACAAATGATAGTGTTCACTGTATTGATCAACGTTCATATGATACAAAAGCAATTTTTACAATGTAAAATTTTTTTTTTTCTTTTTACTTTATTTTTCTATTCATTTACTTTTTGTTTCAGTGTACTTTTAACTTTAATTGCTTTTCTTATACTTGCTGCTACCGGAATGCATATTGCATATGGTCATAAAAGTGATTTAAAAATAGATGATACACTTACGACAACTTATGAACCAATATTGGGTCAAACAACAGCAGCAACTGAACCATTAATAACAACAAATCTTGTAACTACAACAACAATTACTACATCCCAAACAGAATATCCAGTCAATGAACATGATGAAGCTACACCATTGATTTCTCGACCTCGACAAGCTGTTGATTCAGGTTAAAATCATTCTCTTAAGAAATATATTTTTGTTATTTTTTGATTATTAATAGTGGCACAACATTTTATTAATTGTTGTTCATTAATTAGTAATTATCGTATATTAAAACGTGAAAATCAACCAAAAACTCTTGCTTGTTTAAATGGTATTCGTATTCTTTCACTTTGGTGGATAATTCTTGGTCATACATTTTTGTTTGCGGCTTATTATTCGGGTAAGTTTAAATAGATTTTTTTTTTCAGTGAAAAAGAAAGTTTCAAATCTTCATTCTTAGAAAATAATTTATTTTTTGTAAGTAAAACTAGAGTTCGTTTGATTAAGCTCATTGCTCGTAGAAGTTTTATATTTTATCCTTCACAATATAAAAAAATAATTATTATTTAGATAATGTAATAACTATTTTCAATTGGTCACGTCAATTTTGGTTTCAATTAATTATACAAGCAGTATTTAGTATTGATACATTTTTTGTCTTAAGGTAATTTTGAATTGTAAAATTAAAAAAAAATCTTTTTTTTATTAATTGATTACATTTATTTTTTTAGTGGTTTACTTACTACATTCATATTTTTTATATCGAAAAGTGAAAATGAAAGATTTTCAACAATAAAATTTCTTCTTAATCATTATATTTATCGTTATTTAAGGTATCAATATTAATTGAAATTTTTAAATATATAAACTATTATATATATATATATATATAGATATACAATCTTTTATGCTTTAATTCTACTTATCCATATTACTCTTTCACCATATCTTGGTCAATATGGTCCTGTTTATCCAATTGATGGTAGTGAAACATTAACATGTCGACGAACTTGGTGGCGTAATTTACTTTATATAAATAATTTTTTTGATATACGTGATGGTTGTATGGCGGTAAAAGATAACAATTAATTTCCATATTATTATAAATGAATTGTATTTAGATAACATGGTTTTTGGCAGTAAATATGCAATTTCATTGGATTGCACCATTGTTTTTACTGACTGTTGCATGGTAAGATCTTTAACTATAGATCATCGTTTTCAATATAGATATATATTTTAATTTTTAAAATTCAATGAGGTTAGAATATGAGTCTAAGAGAATGAATTATCATATCTAGCCTATTACTAATCATTGACTTCAATATTATTAGAAAAAGTTCAAAGAATATTTTAGATTTTCAAATAATTCTATTGAAAAGTTATAATAAGACGATAACATTTATTCTTCAGCAATAGAGAAGTCGGTATTTCTCTTTTAACTTATAGCAGCCATAGCTGAATGATTACTTTGTTCAAAACATATCCATCACAAAACACTTGGCACAAGTTGCTAACGACTATTTGTCTTGGATCATATGTCCATGTTGTGACATATCCCCTATTCTTATAGTTAGTTAGTGTGTATACGAGCTCAAGCAATGGAGCTGAAAAACGAGATATTCTTCCTTTTGTTAACTTTCTTTATCATTGACGAATTTCAATATTAGATTTAATTCGATTGCTTATTTCAATTTAGGAATTGGATTTTTGGAATGCTCGTAGCCACTGCTTTTATCCTAGTCGATATCATAACAACTGCAGTAATTGTATCAAAAAATAATTATGATCATGGAATTTTAAGTGATTTATATTCAAATGGATCACATTGGTCAAATACAAGTCATAATTATATGAATGATGTTTATATTAAACCATGGTGTCGTATAGCTCCATATGCTATTGGTTTAGTACTTGGTTATGCTGTTTATGAAATGTATAAGCGTTCGAATACAGTTTCATGGGAATCACTTTTACCACAACGAAGATTAACTCGAGCGAATCGAATAAAACAAATTCTAGCTTGGATATTTGCTTTGTTTATTTTAGCACTGTGTATTTTTGGTACATATGGAGATTATAGTGGACATTCATTAAATCGATCAGAACGTATTGCATTTCTTACTTTATCAAGACTTGGATGGGCTATCGGATTAAGTATAATTATTATAGCTTGTTTTACTGGACACGGAGGTTAGTTAATTTTTCTAATAATATATGTATAAAAGATTATATTTAATAGGAATAGTCAATAAATTACTTAGTCATTCGTTCTTTGATTCATTGGCAAAATTAACTTATGGTGCTTATCTTTGGCATGCATTAGTTATTTTTGTCAATTATTTAAGTCGTGATCAACCTACACATTATACAGTGGCTAATATTGTATGTATTGTAAACATTAAATTACAAATAAATTTTATTTTTTTTTTTTTTTTTAGTTGTACAATTCTATTATTCATATAATCATTGCCTATATTTTGTCATTCTTTACTTTTCTTCTTATTGAATTACCAATAATACGATTATTAAAAAATGCTTTCAAACGTCCAACACTTTCATCATAACTAACCAAGACATTTCATAAACATATATATTTTTTTTTTTTGTCTCTTATATAAAATCAATATTGTGACTTGTATAGTTTATTTAGATGTTTTTCTTCTTCTGCATGCCTATTTAATTAAGAATAAAATTCTTTTCTTCGACGATCGTATAATTTTGTTTTTTTCTTTATCGTTCGTATCAAATCCCTCGATTATTGTGTCTAACGGTTAACTATATACGTCTGTTCAAACGGACGATTATATCGTAGGCTATAAAAACTTTTCCATTTCTTATTTTAATTCATATCCATCTATATAACAAGTGCAAGTAAGTACATATAGAACGTTAATGTATAATTTATATTCGTATTATTTTGTTAGTAAGAAATTATTAAATAATCCTATATAATGGCTCGTCGTTCAAGTCAAAAAACTCATCGTCGTCGTGATCCAAATGCACCAAAACGAAGTAAAACAGCTTGGCAAATGTTTTTCTCTGATAATCGTGAAGAAGTTAAGGTAGTAAAAAAAAAAAATTCTTCGTTTTTTTTAAATAATTTTTTCTTCTTTTGTTTAAGAAACAAAATCCTAACTTAAATGGTCAAGAAATATCGAAAAAGTTAGGTGAAATGTGGCGTCAAAGTGATGATGCAGTAAGTTAAACAAAATTTAATTGAATATGATTTTTATCGTTTTTATGTTATTAGATAAAACGTCGATATCAAAATCAACATCAATCAAGTGAAACTGAATATAATGAAAAAATGGCTGCATATAAAGAAGAAAAAAATAGAAAGAGTCAAACATCATATTCAGGAAAAAATAAAAAAAATCAATCATCAAATTCAAAACAAAATAGTGGACAGTCAAATAAAGAAAATATGAACGATGAAGATAATGATCAAATGTAATTTTCTCTTATGTAATTAAAAATTTTGATGAAATATGTGTTGTTGTTTTTTATTGATATTGTACAGTGTATTTTGTATTTATTGACTAGATTTTATAGATTTTTTTTTCTATTGATGCAAATAAACAAGAAATTTTTTATATAGAAAAAGCCATTCAATTCATTCAGCATACATTAGTTTCGTATACTTGTAAAAAGTTCGGACATCCATTCTAGACTATTATGCTTTTTATTTTCAACTGAAATATCGTTTTCTTTTTGTGGTGAGCTCGGACATCCTGCAGACACTTTCACAATCATAGTACGGTTTTTAAACTTTTGTTTTATATAAAAAAAACAAAAAAAGTACACTATCTTCTATAAACAACAACAAAGAAAAACGAGATCGTCTCAAATTTCATAAAAAAAGCAAGTGATTCAGGATTCATTAAGTGTACATTGCTTGGGATAGAATCTAGCATTGGTACTAAACGTTATAATTGTGAACACAGACATAAATGCTTTTTCTATCATCATAATACGTGTTCACCTTTTTTTGATAATTCATTTTCTTTATTATGCAAAAAAAAATGCTCAAAGCGTACAAAAGGCGAATGTAGAAAAAAAGAATAAATCAACATCGCTAAAAGCCGTCTCAGCAAATTTGTTTTTTGTCTTGTCGAGATTCTATCGTTTATGTTTAACATTGATTCATTGTGTTAGATGTGTATATAAGTGATACCTTCTGTTCGTAGCGTTCTTTCTGACCTATTAATCTAATTTGAAGTGTGGTGTGCTTCTTTTTTTTTTCACTGACCCATACTCTAATGACATATTAAGTTATGAGTCTAATTTATTTTGCAATTTCTCTCCAAGGCTTTTATCTCAAAGTAGCTGAATCAGATTCGCATTTATAAGTATATATGTCACTTGGAATTTCAGAATCGTGTCGAGACTTTCTTTGGTGATTATATGTAATTAATGTAACCATACTCTGTGAATGTATCAATATGCTATACTGTTCTTTCGGATCATAGGTACAATAACATTTATCTTTATTGTCTTTTGGTGGACCGATGCAATATCTATAGTTCTTATAATGTATCTATATTTTTTCAATGGTATTTGATTCAGCTATAACCTTTTCTAGTAGTCTATTATTCTTGTTGTTGTATAAATAGTCTAAATTATTTTCTAATATGATGAACAAGAATAAAACTATTTCTAGCTCGTTTAATAAAAGGACAACCGTCTAAGTCAAAGATATTCAGATCCCGATGCATTACGGATCTAATCGTTGCTTGGATACGATCGAATTGTTTTTTTTTCAAAGTCAACGCATTCAATAAGAAAATTTAGACGATAGAATAACAAAATACTTTCACAGATTAGAAAAACTAAATTCTATTTTTTTTTTTTATAATTACAAAAATCTTCATTTATTAAAAACATTCATCTACTATAACTCATATTTTGTTCAAATAAAAATCACAAATATAATATAAATACAAGATTAAAGAAATGGGCTGGAAAGATTTTATAAAAAGAAGAAAAAAGTCAACACTAAAATTCTCTTTTTTAAAAATAAAACATATTTTATATTTGTTTTCTACATATTCTTATACATGAATAATATATTCAACATTGAATCGATCTATGTTGAAAATATATATATAAATGTACACATATAAAAGATGTTTCTTGTTGATATAGGAAATAATTTAAGAATGGCCAAGCATTGTTTGTAAATAGTTTCGATTACATTGAAGACAAAGAACATGATCATCTATTGGATAACAACCTTCGTCTGTTGAGAATTGAATATTACAATTCTTAAATAAAAGAAAAAAATTAATTTCAAATACATATATATTTTATTTTAATTAACATAAACTTACTTCACATCGATAACAATCTATATGATAACTTCGATCAAATGCAATTATACGAATTGTTTCTTCTTCACCAGGTATCGGTAATATTGCTCGATGACATACATAACAACGTGGTGCAAATTTTTCATGAAAACAATCAATACAATGTATTTGCATAGTTGCATCAACAGTAAATGGTACACCATCAAGACTTTTTTGACAAGTCATACAAGAAAAACATTGAGCATGATAAGGTTTACCCGTTGCACGAAGAATCTTTATAAAATATAAATTAAGTATTCAAATTCTATACACAAATATATATTATTCATTAGAGATTACACTTATAAATAGCTATGAAAAATAAGAGTTAATAACAATTATAGATGTATGCTATAACGTACTCCGCATACTATCGGATAGGTGATCTGAAACAAATAGCTATTAGTGAACACTTCTAATAGAGTATGATGTGTTACGCATGAGAAGGTAGTAGTTGTTTTAAAATTTTCCATCTTCTAGAATTTTTTCCTGATATCGGAACTTCTGTTTGCTGTGATTTTTACTATTCGATAATGAATATAGTTTTTGTCCTTTCAAAACATTTCGATAAATTTAAATATGAATATTGTGCAGTGTTGTATTGAGTAAAATCATTTTGCAAATAAATGTTTGTTGGAAATGAAAGACAGACTAATAAGATGTAATTTTAGGAATTTATTTCTCAGTTTTCTAACTCTATTTGAAGAAAGTCTTCAACTCATAAATCGTTTTTTAATTGAAACTTCTTTCGTTATATAGGTCCACATAAGCTATAAATATCTTGAAAAGAGTTCGTGCCCTTTGCTCATTGCTACTACATTTTTATGATAATTTTTAAATTAATGTTGTGGTAACAGAAAAAACTGATTCTCGAATTTAGACTGGAAACTGTGCACAGATCGACAGACCTTAACAAGAATAACTTATTGTCAAAATTTCAGATTTTTCGACTGAGCCTACTTCAAAATAAGAATATCGATTCTGTCGATGTATATCATCGAGATAAACAACATGTTTTTTTTTTTTACCATAGTTGTATCTTACGAGGGAACATATGCAAGTGTAAAAAATCTTTTGAGTTCGGACTCTGTGTATAAGGTAGACCCCAGTGAGCTATGAAAATCCCTAAACGGATAAAGGCTGTTAGGTCTTCTGTCCAGAGTNGTTTAGCGTTAAATACCGAACCAAACCTGGACAAATGAATGCTCTTCGTAACGATAGTGAGGCAACACCGGCGGATGACCGATCATCTCCAGAAAATATACTTAAGAAGCGATTAAAAGCTCTCCTTCTGGCAATGCACAATCTAGTTGTATTTGGCCTTTCGCTCACACTGGCTTACTGTACGTGACAAGCTTCTTAAGCGAAAATTCAAAAACTTACTCAAATATTATCTATATAAACGAACAATTTTCATGCATAATTCAAATACGCTTTCAGCTTGACCATAGTTCTTTTCAACGTGCTTTAATGTTTTATGCTAAACTTAATACTAATAAAAAAGAACTTGATTTTATAAGCACTGTCGAATGTATATTCCTGTTCGTTCTTTTCAACTACTTTCACACTCACATCCACACCCTCCAAAACAAGTGACTTAACTAGTCTGAAATGTCTTCAGTGACAGTGGGAAATAGTCCAAAGTGGCTGTGAATGTGGACATTAGCTAAGAAAAGATCCACGTCTGCCTTATAATTAGACAAACATTTTTTTGTCATAATTTTATTTAAATTAAAATATTCGTCCTGATTAAATTGATTAAAACGTTACTGTAGGTTTCAGAAATTTATTTTAGTGTTAATTTCAAAATAGATTGATTTAATTAAAAATAAAATAATGATACTTACAAATACTATTTTCTCTTCAAGGTAAAAAATCATTAATTTATTTTGTACCCTGTATGTTTTTGCATTCATAACTTTTCTCTAAAATCTAACGATAATCTACATGAAGATTTGAAAAAAAAAATATGTTTTTGTTAGACATTAGAGAAATTTATTAAATTTAATAAAATATCGAGTGCAAATAAATTTATAATTTTTTGAATTGAAGAGAAAATAAATTTTATTAGTATCATAGTTTTATTCTATTTCTAATTAAATTAATCCATTTTAAAATGAAAACTAAATCTTATTACTTATAAAATTATTTTTCTCTGCAACTGAAAAAATGAAAAACACTCTTGTTCGAGCTGAGATACCTAATTTCGTATTACCGTAATCTTTTCATTCATACGAAAATTTTCATAGTTTCTGAATATATTTCAATCAATGAGTGTCTACTAATGTTTAGCGAGACGTAAAAGAGAAGTTTTCGATTATATGGTTCAATGGTCCGAACGACGGATACGTAACAGAATGTTTATGTATGTTCGAATCTAGCCTTTAACTTCGTATTGTATTTAGATTTAGACTTGTTTGGATTAGTCCAATGCACTGCACTGTAGCATGCCATGTGAATCATCCCTGAGTCTTTATTTTCCAATTTTAAATCATTTTGCTTATGGGCGTTATGTCAACTCGACTAGTCTAGTCTTTTTAGAGAACAAGACTAGACTATATTTGCAAGTGTGGGTCTGTATCTAGGTGTAGATGTGTGGGTGCTGAAAGGGGTTGAATCTTGTCTTCACTAAAGCTCACCAAGATCCACACCCACACCCGCTTAATCAAAATTCTTTTTATCTATCATTATTTATTATCTGACATATTCTGTTATTTTTTCTTTCTAATCGACATCAACTCTTCTGAATTCTGCCAAAAGAAAGTTGAATTGATATGCCATCAGTATTTTAAAAGAAGATTTTTCTATTTTTGTCCGATCAAAGTTTTAGAAAATGACAATGAAAGACGGTTTCGAAGAGCCTAAGATCTGAGTATGGAGATCTCGAATAAGGCTAAAAATTTGGTTCTATATCTAAAACAGCATGCTCCATCCAGTGAAAAATATTTCCAAGAAAATCACGATTATTTTCGATTACTGATATAAAAATCTGATTTTTCGAATGAACCTCTCACTTTTTCAAGAAAATACAATTAAAATTGATTAAAATTTATAAATCAATTGAAAAAATAATCTACTTCACCGATTATTGTTGATTATCTTGATTATAATTGAACTTTCATCGACTATTGATTTCAATCGATTATAATCTATTCAATCGATCAAAATCCCAGTCAATAAGAAAAGTGATTTAGGGATTTTCATTGAACCATCAACGGTTACTAGGTTACTAATTAGATTTTCATTCCTAATCGATCTTAGTCTAGGCGTGGGTGTGTGAGTGACATGAATATCAGCACCCACACCGTGTTAATATATCTGTTATGTTTATCTGCTATTAAAGCGAGAGATATACGTAACGGATTAATTCAAGTTCGGCAAGTGTGTGCATTCGACCTTTCTAATTATATTAATAGGGACGACGGATATCCATTGTGCTTCACACTATAAATGACTGCGTCACTCGTTTATTTTCTCTGCTCACTCGATTAGAATCATCTATTCTTTAACAAATTTTACACAACGTATATCTTCACTAAGTGAAACCAGCGAGAATCAATTCATTATCGATTCTATCTTCTAACTTCTATTGTGAAACGATTGGTTGTTTGTAAATTTCATTTGTTATTTAATTTTAGTTATTTGTATCGCGAAATCAACTCTAGAAGTTTTCAACACGATATAATTCTATGTAGCGTTAATTTACAATTTTGATCAGTCGAACAGGATCGACGATAGTTCTAATTTATGAATCTTCCAATTTGAGTATCGAACGTGTCTCCCGCAAAGGAAAATATTTCTAGAGAAAAAAAAAACAATCTCAAAATTCATTGTTCATTCAGTTCTATTTTACAAAGATTTCTTTCTTTATAACAGCTTTAATATTTCATATAAATGAGAGATTATCGAAGATAAATTGACCGCTATATCGACTGCAGATAATCTTCAGCGAGATCAGAGAGTGTATGTTGTGAGATATATCTGTCCCATTGTGAACGTAAATGAACAACCGACTCATGATTGAAGTTCTTCGAAAAGGACCTAACGCAAAGAAGAACATATATCTGCTGAGCTGTCGATGTGATAAGATTCACTTGGAAAGTATAGATCAATTCTTAGTTAAGTCTCATTTCATTGGGATACAGAATGAGCGTAAGATGCTGGTAATGAACTAACCGAATGCGATAAACTAGCGTAGTTCTTCAAAGAACTTTTTTTTCCATCAGATTTGAATAGTTTGCGCTTGAATAAAAGTAATTTTGTCATAATTGCCTTTTTAGCAAACTTTAGTTATATATTTTCTAGATAACCATGACTTTCTTTCTGAATCAGTTTCCAATCGAAATTTTCCGTGTGATTTTTCATTACTTATGGGCTCATGAAATTCTATACGCATTTCATAACATAAATAACTATGTTGATCGCGTTCTATTGAACTTTGACAATTATTTCATTAATTTTCAATCAATTCGTAAATCACACTTCGGTCTTGTATGACGTCTTATTCAACCAGAACAAGTGATTTCGTTAATTCTGTCAGATGAGGACAAGACACCGTATCAATCTCAATTGTTTCTATCTCTCTTTTCAATTCAACAGTATACTTGCTTGCGCGCATTGAAATTGATTGAACTGAATGACGATAGTGAATCATTGTTCTCGGATCTATATAGAGTTCAACATCTTGTTTCTCTTGAAGTCGACATTGGCATTGATTTTTCATTGATTAAAAATGCACCAACACTGAAAAAACTCATTATTAATATTCCATCAGATTTACATTTTAATATTCTACCATCGATTGGTACGATTTCATTCGAAGAGATACGTCATTTGTCGTTGTCTAATTGTTCTCTTACGACATTGCAACGAATCTTTCGTCAGACTTCTCGACTTACTTCACTTAAAACTTCGTTCTAATTTTTAAATCCTGAAGAAATCTATATATATTAGCTAATTTTCATCCACAACAACCAATAACATTCGCTTTCGTTTCTCTGCCATTGTCTATTAATGAACCTTGTGAGTATTAAAATTATACATAAAACAAGATTAAAAATTCGTTTTGATTTATTTTTTGGTCAAACATGACGCATGCTCATCTCGAACGATTTCTTGCTCCATTACAACGATTAGAAGTAGTCATTACCAGCTATGTAAAACGTCAATTTGCCGATTGTTATCGATGAAAAACATTTATTACTGAACATTTACCACAATTAATGACGTTTGATTTTAAATTCTTTGCTAGAAAAATCAATCAAAAAGTACTTGATCGATTTCGTTCTCCATTTTGGCTTAATAAGCATTGGTGTGTTGCTTTTAATTCCAACCGTTGGTCTCTCTTTACCATACCTTACTTTTCTCCGACTTCAATTCATGATTCATCTGTTTCAGCGTCATCTGATTGTACAACATTACCTCTCGAACAACACGTCATCTTTTATGATCGTCTTACTAAATTAAGCTATGGATCAGATCGATACCAATTACCATATCGTTATAATCATGTTGAGGAAGTTATTTTTGATGATCCTTATGCATGAGAATATCGTTGATTTACCAAAAATAGAATCATTAATTGTGTATACATCTAATCGGTGGGCGTGGGTATGGCTTTAGACAAAGCACGCACAAATACCCACATCCATGTGATTTTTGAGAGTGCAATTTTTTTTAATGCAGCTGTGTAAGTTCTGATTACACGATATAATACGATACTTTTACCTGAAGTTCACAACCGTTGAACAAGTTTCTCTTTTTCTTGCTATTGAGATCGGATGATGAAAACTTCTGATGCAACATATAGATGAATAAAGTTCTCTTTTGAAACTGATATAACTTAGAATCAAGAAAATGTGGTTCCTCCATCAATGAGAACACTCTGTCCAGTCATATAATCCGAGTCTTGGCTCGCCAAGTATGACACTAAGCTTGCGATATCTTCCGGCTTGCTTATTCGACCAAGAGCTATTTTGTCGTTTTCGTAATATTTGATGATGTCTCCCTTTTGCTTTCCTTCGATTTTTGCTAATTCTTCATCAACCATATCTCCCATCGCAGTTTTGGTAAACCCTGTTTTGATCATTAGATTTGTATTTCTAAAAAAAACGGTAGTAAACATACCTGGACAGTAAGCATTGACTGTAATCTTGTGCTTGGCCCATTCCATGGCAGCGGCTTGTGTAAGGCCACGTACACCCCATTTACTGGCACAATAATGGCTCAGCATTGGAGCTGGTCTGTGCCCAAGCGTACTGCAGGCACCAATAATTTTTCCTCCCGTACCTTGCGCAATCATGACTTTAGCAGCCTCTTTGTAGCAAAGAAACACACCCCGCATGTTGACTGCAAACATCTTATCCCAATCTTCTGTAGTAATATCGACGATCGGTTTCACTTGGACAATTCCTGCATTAGCGACTATGACCTGTATTATTAGCCAGAAAAAAAGATGAAAGAATCGAGAAGAAGAGGTGCCTACATCTAAACTGCCCAGTTCTTTTGCAGCGCTCTGCATCATTGTTTCGACCGCTTTATCAACAGAAACATCAGCCGTTATAGCGACAGATTTTCGACCCATTTTTTCGATTTCTTGTTGAACCTTGTTGAGACCTGAAGAACTTGCTTTGATATCATTCACAGCAACATTGAGACCATCTCTAGCAAGACGAAGGGCAATCGCACGTCCAATACCTCGAGCAGCACCAGTGACGAGAGCGTTGCGAGACATCGTGAACAATAAAAACTGGAAAAAAGAGAAAAATGAGAAGAAAGATCTTCGTTGTTTTCTTGCAGAATAACAATGTGAAACTATCCATATACATAGTCACATGTTTTTCAATAGTCCAAAACAATATTTTTATAGTTAGTAGCCTATAGTCTAGAACGAATTTGCCATAACTTGAAAGCGTGTTTGTTTCGGTTACATGAAAATGTCAACCTGAGCAGTAGGTTTTTGGAATCTGTGCTCAATGTAGATTACGCTCTATGATATGCATTCTAGAAAGAGAAGCGAAACAGTAGGTAGGGACCAAAATCGATAATCTCAACTTTGGTTGAAACTAAAAATCTCGAAAGTAAAATATTGGAAGAGCGGCTGTTTTGGAAGATGACGGATAAAGATGTCATTATTGCGGATGTGGGTATGTGGGTGACTCTCAATCGCTTATCTGTGTCCATACCCTCAATAGAAAAATTATTTAATATCAATTAACCGTTATATAAAACCTTTTCTCTTGTGTTTGATTCTTTCTTTTTAAATTATAAATATTTGATTGGAATTAAGCTGCTTGCTTTTTTAATTGTTTTAGCAAGAAAATGTTCCGAAGTAGCAACCTAAGTTTTCGATATTTTTACCGTCGGTATTTTTACTCTCGGCCAAAGTAGGGAAAATTCCAAAATTTGTTCGGATGTGTAGTTCAACTAACTTTCTCGTTCCAAAAAAAGATTCTATTAGATTACTATCAGTGAATTAAATGAACCAAGCCGATATTACTGGCTCTTTGATAATAAGTCAACGTATACTGAAGATTTCATGGCGAAAAAATACGCATTTGAGGTGAATTTTTTCTAATCAAGAAAGCTTTCTTTTTGTTACGACATAAAAGACTGTTTTGTCGCTTTAATAGTCTGTAGTAGTTCAGTCATATTCAGATTTCCCATAAGTTTCGTTATTTTTGAAATTTCCTAATTACCTACATATACGCTAGATTCCACATCTTCTTAAAATGGATGCTTTACGCTGTTTTGCAACTATTGAACTTATGTAAATTACAGAAATTTTAATCATTTTTCTCTTAGTTTTCAGTAAAAAGGCATAATTTTCCTTCTATTTTACTTCAAAAGGTTACTAAACGATTTAGTGCCGTTTTTGACCTAGATCTGACTAGTTTTCAGTATTAATTTTGAGTAAACTGAATTGGATTCTTACGTACTTTTATTCTTTTTGAACTATACTCGTACGCTGCAATATGATGCAGAAAAATAAATAAATAACCAAAATAGTTATCTTTTTCTGACTGCGTTGTACGTGAGCTAGAACAGAACATATTAAGATTGCTTGA